GCTTGGCCCCTTTTCTGTTTCTGAACAGATCAACCCTGTTGCATATCGGTTACATCTACCGGAGTCAATAAAGATCCATCCTGTATTCCACGTGTCTCTTCTTGAACCATATAAGACAGTGGATATATAAGGAAGAAGACAAATGCCACCGCCTCCTATAGAAATAGATAATAATGAAGAATTTGAGGTGGAAGAGATATTAGACTCAAGGCGGCATCAAAATAAGCTGGAATATCTTGTTCATTGGCGTGGATATGATATTAGTGAACGCACATGAGAGCCATCCAGGAATCTAGCAAATGCATCACCTAAAGTCAAAGTTTTTCATCAACGACATCCATCAAAACCAAGATGAAAATCTCTCTTATAAAAGGGACAAGATTGAGGCAAGATAACATTCAATTTCCTATCCTTGTTTGTAACTTCTTTGCATTTGTGATGCTAATTAGATAGAGAGCCAACAACCAGCGGATTCAACTCAAGAACCTTTGTTTGCTGACCTGTCGGACGAGACATTACGATTGTCACAACCTTCAAGACGATGCAATCGAGATGAACATCTTCAAGGACGACATGTTCTTCCTCGAATAGATGGTGAGATACAACGCGTTTGGTATCACGATTTGGGAAGGGACTCCCGATGTTTGGTGATTTTGCTAGAGGTAGGAACAACTCCTGATGGTGTTCCAAATATTCTATTCGAAGGAAGTTACGAAGGCCTCAACAATGATCAAATAATTGGGTGGTCTTCCCGCCCTGGTATGGGACACTACCGATGGTTGAGAGGCCCTATCAATCATCTTTGAAGAGAACAAAGATCAGAGTATGTGGCGAATACAATTCGTCGCATCATAGATTTCCTCAACATATGATGACTGCTCCTCGTGGAACTCGTCTCTAGAAGGGGGGGTAATGTCACGGCCATAATCATGTAAGCTAATAATTACATATAGAAATATGTAGAAGTAAGTAAAAGTAAATAAAAGTAAGTTAATTCTATAATATTTAATATAAAAGCTTCCTAGAAACTTCCTAGACGCTGCTTTGACTTCATAGGTGTCTTTAATTGACTTTTTGGATTAGAAACGTGGTCAACAAGTTGGCCATGTGCCACACATGTTGTTAGCTTGAAGATCAAGCTAACTATGTGGCCCACACGTAGAAAAACTTGCCTTGTAAGTTAAGGCATGTGTCCTACAAAGTCAACACATATTGGAGGTCCTATAGAACGTCGCCACGTAGCCCTTAGTTAGATAGTATATATAGAGACAAGAGTGAAGGCTTCTTCACTCTTGTCAACTCCTTTCTTGCTTCTAGTCCAGGTTCAAGAGTCTTTAGTTTCTTGTCTTGTGGCAATAGCCATTCCAGTTTCCTTTTAATATACCTACTTGTTTATATTTTGACTTATTATATCGAGATAGCCTTTTTGTGTATATTTTCTCTCATCGAGTCTTTGTCCTTGACACAAAGTCAACACATATTAGAGGTCCTATAGAACATCCACACATAGCTCCTAGTTACATAGTATATATAGAGGCAAGAGCAAAGCCCTCTTCACTCTTGTCAACTCCTTTCTTACTTCTATTCTAGATTTAAGAGTCTCTAGTTTCCTTGTCATTTGACAATAGCCATTCTAATTTTTTTTAATATATATACTACTTTATTTCTATTTTGCCACTTTTCTTTTGATACAGATTTTCTAAGTTTATGCATCTTCTTTCAATTTATGTCCTTGATAGTCAACACGTTTTAAAAGTCCTATAGGATATCGCCACATAGCTTTGAGTTAAGAGTATATATGGAGGCAAGAGTGAAGCCTTCTTCACTCTTGTCAATGCCTTTTTAGTCCTTAGTCTTGTTTCAGGACTTTATAATCTTCATGTCTTTGACACTAGCAATTCTAGTTTAATATTATATCAGCTTTGAGTGATTTTATAGTCTTTTTGAGTGACACAAGAGTGTATTGAGGTTTTCTTTCTTTAAGAGTCATGTCCTTAATACTTTATTTATTTGAATTTATAGGCTCCATATTATTGTAGCTTTTATTTTTTATTTTTTTACAAATTTTTATCTGTACAATTTTTTGAATATATATATATATATAATTCTTTTTAATAATATATTTTATATATGATATACAAAAAGAAGTTGTATACAAAAAAAATAACAAAATTATATGTTTGATTATTAACAAGATATTCATCAAATTTCAAAAAATATTACAAAAAATATAAAAAGGATATATGTATATATATAACTTATATTACTATATTTTATAATAAGTCATTATTATCATATTATTAAATAGTAAATTATTTTTTAAAAAGAAAGAAAAAATAAAAAATAAATTTACTAAAAAAATATTAAACATGCATCTCTTATATTTATAAAACAACATATGTTATAAAATAATAAAATAATAATTCACCAAAAAATAATAACAAAAAAAAATTAAAAATCTTCCAGATCAAAAAATAACACGTCACAAATGCTCCTTTAATTAAAATGAAAAATATATATATATATATATATATATATATCTCAAAAGATGTTTGAACAAGCTACAATAAAGAACCAACTACAGTTCATGTTAAGTTTTTAAAAATCCAAAAATGCTTCATTTTTTCTCTTTAGTGTTTCTTAATATAACTAATTTTTTCTTCAAATATAAGTCAAAGCATGACCTTTAACAAAAAGTTGTTTCTACTATACTATAGCATGCCAAATAGATTTACATTGACAAATGATAAAATTACTTTCTAATATCAACATGAACCGGTCTATGAAAGCGCTCATTCTTACTCTCACTTTCCTTTACATAATTGCAAACTTAAGTTTCACAACCTGTCCAACTTTATCTTATGCACGGTCTGAGTCCCACAGTACAATAACCATCTTCTTAGACTGATTTTCTAATCACCAGCTCTTATGCTGATTATCTAATCACAATATTCTAAACCTGATTTGCTAACCATCATCTGATTAAACCGATATTCTCATCAATCATCACATAGACTGGTTTCTTAATCACCATCTGCTAAGACTGGTTTCTTAATCCCCATCTGCCAAGACTGGTTTCTTAATCCCCATCTGCCAAGACTGGTTTCTTAATCCCCATCTGCCATGGCTGGTTCCTTAGTTACCATCTGCCAAGACTGGTTTCGTAATCACCGTGTGCTTAGACTGATGTAGTTCCAATGAACTTAGACATCGACGGAGTGTTGGAGCGGCTGAAAGGCAGTTCACACGGCGGCTAGTTTTATGCCACCAAGTTGATGTTCCAGAATGGCAGAGGCAACGATTTCAAACCGCCACGGAAGAGCGCATCCGCCACGCTAATTTAAGAGTCCTCGGGGTATCGATGCAACGAGTAACGATCAGTTTCGATGAGCAGGATCAAGGTGATGGCTCGTCGAGGTGGGTGATTCACTAGGCATGTGTCCGAAGAGTTGATATATATCACTGAGTTGTCCTTTCCAAACCAAGCAGGAAACCGGGTTTCGGGGAGGGGGCGTGCAGGCACTCTACGTGGTAGTCCTCCCAGTGCCACGACTTGCTTTGGTTCTGCAGACAATCGTGCATGTCCACGGCTTTTGAGACAAGACGGTAATGGATTCTGAAGGATGAAATTGAGCCCTGCGCTTGGATCGTTGCATTCTGATAGATTCCCTGGAAGAGACGGGTCAAGTTTGTGTCTGGGAGCCAGGTCCTTCGTCTCGCAGGAAACGGACTTAGCGTGTTATCCAGGCCAGTTTGGACGAAAGCAGTTTGAGGAAAGCGTTTTCCTTTTTTTTTTTTTTTTTTTTTTTTTTTTTTCAACACCTTGAGGCCATCTGGCCGCAAAGTATGGTCGAATCATATCGACGATTTGTGTGCAGAAAATAGTGTAGGGGCGCGTTGTTCATCGGTGGCGAACGAACACGCCTACGATTTCGCGTGATTTGTTCGAGAGCAGACGGCAGTGAGAGCAGGGATCGTCCTGTGCTTGCCAAGGACCCTTACGTTGGGATGGAAATCCCAACCACCGACATGCAGAGGGCTTCTAGATCAGTCGAGGCAAAAAATACCTGCATCGGCGCTCCCGAAACGCATAAATCTGGGGCTACTTGCGGGTGTTCTAAATAGAGTCGTCGGCTTACTTGGCACTCCTGCCTCTATGGGCATAAGTCAAAATTCCTTCGAGAGTGTTGGATGGATGCAATCAGATATGAGTGTAAGCTATTAACAGTAAAAGAGGTTCACGTTCATTTTACTTGAAATGATAACATCGAAGTTTCACAGAGGGATGTGAAAGGGAGATGCACCTCATCCAGCCGGGAGATGCCAGGTTGTTTACCAAGAACAAGCTCGGGGCGGGGCTAGCCGGATGGGGGAGTTGGAGGCCAGGCTTCTCCGTGCTGGCATTGGCAATTTGCAAATTGCTTGGTGCCCCTTCGCTTGCTCTTTACCGAAATGGTTTGAAGCTGGACGGTGGAGCCCTAAGTCATCGGTGCCTCTTCTAAGTCATCGGTGACTTCCCGGGTGATTCCTTGGTTTAAAACCGAAAAGAGCTCTCACCTTCTGCACGTATGCTTCCTCATCCTAAGACATGCTCCTGGCGCTACGCTCTCCGTGTCGTATCTTATGTCACCGGGTTCCGAGTTTGCCCACGGAGGAGAAGCAGAAACGTGGAAGCCTGCTTCTAGATCATCCGAAAGGTTTTGGACCGTAGCTGCGGAGCCGGAGATTTTGGGCGCTATTTTGGCTGACACAATCTGACAGGTCCTGACATGCTCCCAGTTGACTCCATCGCGTCGATAGATTCCCCTTGCCATTGGTGTGATGGAAACCCTCAAAGATCAGATCCAACCAAACCGTTAAGTCTGGACTATTTCGGGTAGAGCCTGTACTTCTCCCTTTCTAGTCGTGCCACACTCCCCTCAACGTGACACCCCCGAGACCCAGTTTAGCATCTGATTCTCACCTATAAAAACCTCTTCCAAGTCGTGATCGATTCGTGAGCGGACCCCACTCTTGCCTTGTCTCTGTTCCAAATCCATTTATTCCAGGCTTTTGTCATCTCCACTCACTAGCTTCCCTCTGCGAAGTTTTGTGGCCCCACAAACAGTGTCTCCCTCTCTTCGACTGCTGACGCCCTCCACCTGTCCTTGATAAACATCACCTCGATTTTCTTGCATGTTGCCCGAGTATCGCTGATTAGAATAATAAGTGCTTTCCAGGCGCACCTTTTGTGATGTTGCTCATTGCTGTCAGATTGGATTCCCTTGTACTCTAGTTCTCCGTTCGCACCGTTATTCCTTGCGGCCGATTAGTGCATGTTTGCGGCATCTTTGCATAGCTCAGTAGTTTTTGAATGCCCATTTCATCTGGGCCACAGATTGCTGCTTTCGGGTTGGAACTCCTCGGCCTCAGCGTCAATGGTGCAACATATCGTATGGCCATCCGGTGTAATTTGGAGTGAACCTTCGGAGACCGGCATCAACCCTGAAAATCTACGAGGGAATCGTGTCTTTGCAGAATATCACTAAACCCCCAAGCGGTAATTGGCGTCCAGATGTTGTGCAATTGAGACGATTTTGGGCTTGAACGATGATCTATTGACTTGAATTAGGCCAGGCAGCGTGCTACACTGACACTTGTTGATTTAATCTGAGGACAGTCTGTCGGTCGCCTGTGCAGGAACAGACAAAGTTCGATCCATGCAGGCAGTCCTACCATATGAGATCAGGCCGAAGGGTTGCGTTAGCGAGCAGTTCAAGATGATTTGTGAAAGCAGAGCAGGGTTACAGTACGCATGTGGACAAACCAGCAGCATGTATTACAATGTGGCCGACAGTGTACCTTGTAAAACCACCAGTTTCCCAATGTTATCCTTACACAACAGCGCTGAGCAAATTCTGCCTTCTTTGCCTGTCATCCATGGTGAGGGTCCTATTCCTCCACTTACTACGTCCAAGTTTGTTAGTGTACAATATGATGCCAGCGGTCCTGCAAACTTTAGAGGTAGCAACATTGCATTCAACATGCAAGCGTTAGTCCATTTCGCGGTTCGTAAACCCAAAGTTAGTGTTGGTGATAGTCTGGATATCTACTACTACTAGTCTTGCCAAACGCTGTACATCCCTGTAATGAGTCCGTCGTTAAAGCTGAAGTTCCGGTCATTGTACAACGTTGTTTGCACGATCTCATGGTCGCCACGCACTTTTTTGTGCCAGTCCAGCGCACTGACTGGCCATGTACCCCTGACTTTCGTCTCAAGTGGGATCGCTAGACATGCATGAGCTCTCGAATTTTCCAGCATTACCTTCTTTAGTTCGTCGCTGTCCATCAGTGATTGACGGTCTGGGGTACATGTAGTCTCCAAGAGCGAACAGTGTCACGATAAGACGTTCACTAGGACAACTCAGTTTCCGAACTAGTTTCGGAACAGGTTGTCTGGCTAAGAAGGACGTAATGTAAGTCATAAAAATGAGGCTCAAAAGAGTTCGAGAACGGCGTGTGCGCTCTTTCTCACAATTATGCAGCGGATGTGAAGTCGACGCTAGGTGTAGAAAATAGATGTTTCTTACCGATGGGAACTGGCATAGCTCTCGATTTCTTTTGGTTTGTTGATAAATGTAGTGGTGTATTGACGTGACTGTAATTGTGATTTCTTTTTTCTGAAGGCAACATGGCTCAAGACTTCCAACAGATTGAAACAATGAATAGAGCCGCTGTACTACCTCAGATAGAAGATCCATACAACTTCTTGACGCAACCTGCGTCACGAGGGCTATCATGGTGCTTCGGACTACAATCGGACGTTGCCAAGGAGTGGTCATATCTAGTAAATAAAAGTGGCACGCATGCAGCAGGTTCCAAAGTTGCAGCTGAGACCTGCGTAGAGGGGGGAATAGTGGTCGTGCGCAGCCTCTCATGTCCATGGTCTTCCACGAACGTCCAGGATACATACCGAAGCGCGGACAGTGACCTCATTCTGTTTCACCGCATTCTAGACGACGCATTTCCTTCCGATTGCAGGTGTGTTGACATGTAAAACTCAATATCTGAGGACACGCTTGGCTGAATTATTTAAGATTTTCGTATAAACTTGTTATTGGACCTGGGAAAACCAAGTCTATGACTATCAGCGGCTGGTGATGCTACTAGGATGGATTTGTTATTTATTAGATCTCATAAACACAATAGCAAATGGGAAGATTTCGGCTTCTCCTACATGTAAGAGCAGCGGCCTAACTAATATTCTAATTGAATGAACGAAATGTTGACTTGCAGGCAAGTAGGGTGGTGCAAGTATTGTGCAACACTGGAGAAGGAATTGATGAGCTCGTTGGAGGTGAAGGTCTCGAAGTGGGCCGATGATAACAGCTTGGTGGGTGCAAACTTCAAGCAGATGGACCAGTACTTCGAGCCAAGGACGACTATGCCAGTCGTTGAGCATGACAGCCGAAAGCGGAAATATGAACAGGTATTGGTCTGATACTGCAATATGTTGTCTTTCTACCTTCGGCCGTGCGCAGCATCTACATCCCACCCTGTACCCCACTGAAGTAAATTGGTTTTAACTATTGGCTCCAGAACGACTGGGAAAGTGATCGGGCTCAGGTGCTGCTGAAACTGAATGAACTTAACACACGTACGAAGAAAGCAGAGCAGAGAGTGCTGGAGCTTGAGCAATTGTTGCGAGATCCTGTGGTCCTGGGCCTTGACGACACGTGTGATGACTCTGATATTGTCACTTCTGCATCGCAACACGGCTACTTCCATGAGGTACATAATATACATTGCTAATGATCCACTTGCAGTTAGTTATTTAAGATGCACTAAATTTGGCTGATTCTGCATGTCGATTGTGAGGCGTGTGGTCCGAGGAACTTAACTTGCACGCATGGGTGGGGCTTGAATTCACTGGAAGCAGTCAGAGATGCTGGTCTGCAAAATCGCCGGTTGCAACAAAACTTTCAAGTCCAGCAAGACGCTCCGTCGCCATGCCCTGCAGAAGCACTCTGACAATGCCCGGTTTCTGGTGTGCAACCAGCCCACGGTGAATGGAGAGATGTGCCACTTCGAGACGATTCATTCGGGGGTTCTGTCATACCACCGAAAGCACAGCTTGGCGCATCAACGGAGAGAAGACTGGCACATCTCCTGCCCCTTCTGCCAGAGCAAGTTTGCGCGGCAGCACGAGATGGAGCGCCACCGTCGGATCTGCAAATCCCGGCCCCAACCATCGCAGGCCTCGCCGAACTCGAACGGATCGTCGGTCCAGTCAACCGTAACTGGAACTCTATCAGAAGCTAGCCTGAACCACCCCACGCAACTACCGGACTACATGGTTCCCACTCGGAGGAATTACGACCACCAGCTCTTCAAGATGTCTGGTACCAAATTTAACATCGAATCAGGTATCACATTGTGATACATCACATCTGAGATATCATCAGATGACCTACAGGCTCGGCTTGCACCTACTCTTTACTCGCTTTATCATCACCCACAGGCTGAGACTTCTCGTTCATGCAGACCCCTGTCAGCGTTACTCAAACGAGAGAAGTCAGCGCCAATTGTGCTGCATATGGCCGGTCTGTAATTGAGCGACATGGTCTTAGAACTGTTGTGGTTTTCGTCCAGCAAATCATGCTTGGAGCCTCTAGATAAAGTGACCTCGTCGAGCTGACAGACTTAGAGTGAGTGAACGGCAGCTCTCTTTTTCTCTTCTACGTGTACGCAGAGCGACGTGCTCTGTCAAGTCTTGTCTATTTGATCTATACTAGGAGGTGGCCATTGGGTGACAAGTGGTCAATGCAGGTTCTGAGAATGCACGATGGCGAAGCTGTGCACTGTGAACTTCTCGAGCCTGAAGCTTGTCACGTAATGGCCATTACCCGCATTATTGACTGACAGGAGGATGTTCCACTACAGGACATTCCTGCAGTTGAATGGACCCCCTCATGCCCTTCAGAGTTTGGGTGTCATCCGATTAGGATATTTAGATTTAGAAGGGGATTTTTTCATCCTTTTTTATCTTAATTTTTTATTCCCTTTTTATTTTTCTCTTCTTTTGAAAAGTTCACCAGACATTTGATTTATATTTATGCCTTAACTCCCTATGGCGAGATCACAGGGGGTGTTGGTCATGTAGTTTTAGATGCATATGGTTTAAGCGATACATAATTTATGTACAACGCTCATTTGTGTGAAACATCAAATAATTTGTTCCAAATGTATATTTACATACTCTTCTTCAAAGTACTTTAATACCAAGGGTTGCATACAGTGTGAGTCTGTACTATTGAAACCAAGATCCGTGATTGTAAAAATGTTGAAAATGAAGTCATAATAATATCAATAATAACAACAATGACAGTAACCGCTTTGATGATTATGAACTTCGAGGCTTGAAAGATGTCTTGGAGACGTGGAAATAAACTAGACTATTTTGAGAAGTGGATGGTGCTTGAAACTTGATCTGTAAGACATTATTAAATCCAAATATGGGAAACAAGGATGTTTGTGCAACGTGCACTACATCCAACTTATTGAAAATCAATGTTGCATGCGAGAAGATCATGCAAGCGAACTGATTTCGTGAAGCAAAATCCATGCAAATGGTTATCATGTTTAACCAGTGTGGTGGGTTGGACGTCGAATCAACCAGTCCATCGAAGGATCCATCCAGGCCACACACGTTAAGGTGCGGGCTTCGATAGACCTGCAATCGGTATTACGCGGGTTTCCGGAGGCACCGTCGTCCCTCGGTATCTCCATGAAAAGCCCTATGAAGGTAAGGTAAACAAAAGATTTGAGATGGGGTTGCTGGGCTTCATTTTCTTGCTAAAGAGCAAGTAGCTGTGGTCGAAGAATATCAAAAGTATTGGAGAAGCTTGGCGTGGCAAAATTGCTGGATCGGGTTTGTCGTATTGCATCGGCGGCCGGCTCATTGTCTTGTTGCCATTCCGTAGGTTCAAAGGAATATAGCTCTTTGTGGGGATTCCCTTTATAAAAAAACCTGCCTTACTTCACCTAATCAACACTCGAAGGCCAGATCTTCCGGGCACGACGCCATAGCCAACCTTGCGTTGATGTAAAGAACACGATTAAAGTTTCGCAATTCCAAACAGCGCGATTGCAAACTCAAATCCAGCTCAGTAATCAATTTAGCTTGCTGGAGATCCTTGGCTCTCACGTTGAACGAAAGCAATACTCTTCAATTGGTTAGAGTATAACATCACGAAATACTTCGCCATGTTCTTCGTGGGCATTATCGAACCCTAACTGTATGGCATCAAATTTTCAGGACATCAACTCCGCACCCCATTGATTGGAAGTGTTCTTTACTTTAAGATGATATTCTCACCATCTTAGTCAGAACACCAGTATCAGTGACCTCTTCGATCTGTAGTTCCTTCCGAAGAAGTATCATTATCTTACGATAAATGTAGGTAAGCATGGTCACCTTTAACGATGGTGCATTCCCATATTTCACACAGGATGAGCTGTGAAATTTCCCTGTGAAGTGAACTAAAATGGTCGCGTTAGATTCGAAAACTGGGGTCGCATACGCAAATCAATGTTATATAACTCGGAGTTTGAAAACTATCTCAAGAATTGTCTTGAACAAGCCTCACCGAAACTCAAAAGAAGAGAAACATCGCGGCACAATTCTCCACAAGAATGCGCAGATGTAGATAGATTGGTTGTGTGACGTAAGCCAATTTAACCCCAACCACTGTATTTAATCTAAGAGTTTAGAGCCCCTGACAAAGGGATTCATTTAAGAACAATCTCTCTGGCATAAGTTCGTCCCAGAACTTTATTTCATTTCTAAAACAACTCAATTCAGAGTATGCTTTTAAAAGAAACCACTCTAAAAGCAGAACAAATGGATAACGACTCGGTAGAGCACTGTATGAAAAACATATAATTTTTGTGCAATTTGAGCACAAGACAATGACAACAGAATCCAGTTTTCAGACGACGTTTATTCAACGCTGAAACTGCATATGCTTCAGCAGTACGCGCTGTTTCGGTAATATACACATCACATCTAAGTGGGTGCTATTATATGATAAAGTAAGATGCATTCAGACGACCAAACCGTAATCAACCGAGAGAGTAGGGTCACGGATGTGCTGACCGCGAAAATGCATAGCTGAAATTCGTGCAAGGGAATGTTGGTATATCGAACCGCATCGGACGTACCTGTTCTGCGAGAGTGCAAAAACCAACGAATCAACCTCATAGCACGCAAAAATAGGTCATGATCAATTGACAATTAACTTTTTACGTTAAACATCACAAGAGTCATCAGAACATTGTCATTGAAAATTTAACAAATTTGCACATTTCGGTTCCGGAGAAGATACTCGCTTGCCTGCACAATGTATCGATTGTTCAAACAGCAACAAGACCGATTCTGCACTTAGACAAGGACACACTGACCGCGGCTCCGTAGCTGAAGGTACACGATAATGCGTCGAAGGATCGCTAACAAGTAATGTATAAATATAAAGTCCCATAGAAACTTTGATTGGCTTGGCCTTGAGACTTACGGTAAGTCAAAGTATGGCTTTGTGTATTACTTTTATGAATCAGACGCTTGAATTCTCAGGATTCGGTGTGCCCAGTACTTCCATTTGTCTGATCCAATACCTGCTCCATCACCACTCCATCATCGAGGTCAGCCCCCTTCTTAAATGTATACTAAGCCGTCGGTGAGATAGGCATGCCATACTGCAAACCAACCGGAGTGTGGAATGATGTGTATTATAGTTAAGCCAAAGTTATACCTGACCAAATGGAAACAAACAAAAGGTGACAAAGTGGATGTGACGCAAGTATGCAGTTCGAAGTATTCACTCAGTAGAGACGTGAGATCTTTAGTCACGACCACGGGAATTGCTGTAAGTATAAAGGTCGTCATGATACAAATCTAAATAATTTAGCTTCTTTGAGAAGGGTTCTCATAGTTTGCAGAGGAATTTAAAAGCTACACTGAAAAACAAGCAGACCAAAAGGAAGAAGAGGCAGTGGTGATGCACATGTTCACAAAGTAGAGAATACAAGTAAATTTTCACCAGAATACTCCTTGTGGCATATGTTCCAGCTATGTAAGTGTCCCTGAACACCTACATTCAGAACCCTCAGGAATCACGCAGAAAAATCCTATGAATCGTGACAACAGTATCATTTCAGGGACCCTCATACCAAAGCCGAGGGGAAATGAGTTCAGTACCAATCCCCACAATTCCAAAACCTTACTCAATAAAGTTATCGGCCAATCGTTACGCGGAGAAAAAGATTGAAACCCACGATGAGCGGCACAATACCATAAATTCAATTATTTGAATACTTGAATATCGACTTACACAACTACTAGGATATTAAGACAACATATTGAAGGAGTTCATTTTAAGAGATTCATTACACGTTAAGGAAACCAACGAACCTAAACACGCAAGCCGACCCTTCTGATCCAAAGTCATAACAAACATTCATGAAGACAGATAGTCTAGAGATATTTTTGAACGAGGTGACAAAAAATATATATTTACTGCAAACTGTCGCTTTACTTTCCATAACGTGCCATATCCAAGAGAGCAGTCGTTCCTGGAAGCACAGAATCCCGGCGCAAAAAATACAACTAGCAGCTCTCAGTACACAGGGGTCTTCTCTACGTCTTCCACAACGCTAATTTTGTGAGGTTTAGCAAGGAAATCAGTAAATTCCTGGAAGGGCGACTTCGAGAAGCGAGTTTCTCTCCAGAGGTCGGGGGTCAAGAACCCATAGGTCTTCAGAAGACACTCGAATGTGGCCTGCATGGAAACAGAAACGTTAGCTTACAGCATACAGAAATTCAATTAGCACTTGAAACATGCCAATGAGAAATAACCTAAACCGGTAACTGTCGTAAGCCATCCTGAGTGAAACTGAACCCAATTGTTTTCACATGCATACATTTCATGAAAGCATGAAACCAAACTTTTAGAGACACTTCTAGGCTAGCGCATCGCGTCAATTCAAGCATAAAGACAATCTCTGCCACTTCAATTTAGGTCATTACTGTACACAACAACTGCGGTGGATCCAACCCTAACCAAGTAGAAGTACGAAGGCGACATCACAAGTCAATGCTCAACATACTATCGACAGCATTACAATCAAATTAGGCCTACTTCATCACTAAGACGAAGAGTATTCCGAATGAAACCAGCTCACCTTCACGAAGTTACCGAGGGTCTTGGTGGAGCCGCGGGAAGAGGTGAACACATCCTCAATACCGGCAAACTGCAAAACCTTCTTGGGCACGCGGGCGGCGACAATACCAGAACCCCTAGGGGCGGGAACCAACCTCACAGTGACGGAGCCACATTTTCCGGTGACCTTGCAAGGCACGGTGTGGGGCTTACCAATCTTGTTACCCCAGTATCCTCGGCGGACTGGAATAACAGACAACTTAGCCAGAATAATGGCACCCCTTATGGCGGTGGCCACCTCCTTGCTACATTTTACTCCCAGACCAACATGACCATTGTTATCACCGACGACGACGAAGGCTTTGAACCTGGTGCGCTGCCCGGCACGAGTCTGCTTCTGCACGGGCATAATCTTCATGACCTCATCCTTCAATGCGGAACCCAAGAAAAACTCTACAATCTGGTGTTCTTTGATGGGCAGAGAGAAGAGGTAAATCTGCTCAAGCGACTTGATCTTTCCGTCCTTCACCAGCCTTCCGAGCTTAGTGACGGGCACCCACTTCTCCTCCTCGTCACGCTTGGCGCCACGGCGCCCACCGCGTCGGTCCCCTCGGCCTCTGTCTCCACGGCCACCTCGGTCACCTCGATCGCCGCGACCGAAACCACGGCCGAAGCCTCCGCGTTCTCCTCCTCGCTCAGCCATGATCACCTGTGATTACGCTACGCAATTGCGCGGCGAAGCGGTTATTGATTCAGTGCGAGAGCCCGTCGAGTAACGAGCAGTGAGGGAGTGGGGAGCGAGAGCTGAAAAGGAAGAGTGCGTCGGCCGCTTGTGTCCTTGAGTCCCATCCCCCCCCCCCCCCCGCTCTCCAAACCCTAACCAGGCCTCCTCCTCCTCCTTCCGCTTTGGACCCGAACCTTCCACCCTCCTTGCCTCGGTAAAACCCTAATTGTCGTAGCAGGGGAGCCATATCCCAGCATCGGAGTCATTATTAACTAAGAGTCGTGGATTCCAGAATGGTGGTGGAATCCTAACCTTGAATTGGTCAAATTGCGCTTCATTCAATAAAACATTGAGGAAAAAAATTATTTGTTTCATTGCTTGTTGTATCATATGTGTGTGTGTGTGTATATATATATATATAAGCATGTTTTCAAGGATTTGAATATTCACATTTTTATTTTACAATTTCAAGATTATATACATAAACCCACCACCTTAATCTCAAATAGTTGGTTATTTGTTTCAAGGATTTGTGGCATCAAAAAGACACATTTAGCATAGAGTGAAGAATCCGTTTAAAAACTGTATGTGAAAGGTGTCATGTGTGTTAACAAATGCTTACTAATTTTCATCTTTAAGCCACATGAATAATACAACATTGATGCCTTGAATGCACAATTGTTGTGAAGCATTATTGTGTGTGTTATGTATACACATATTAAAATACAAAGAAAGCACATAACTAACTAACTAACTAACTATATATATATATATATATATATATAGTATTTACTTATTTATTTGTCAAGGGAATGTTGAATGTTGAATAGACTAAAGTTTTTACTAAGTCAATCTACCCATGATGAAGAATATGGTAATCATGATGAATGTGGTTGGTTTTTATTGGTTTTAGATCTAGTAGTGAACAAGTGTTGAATAGAAGAATCATTATCTTTATTTTATTTTATTTTATTTTTCATGACAGTTAAAATGGGTGGATCAATTTAATAAAAGCCTAGGTCTATTTAAAATTCCTCATTTTTAAAATAAGACTAGTTATGTTTTAATTTCTTGTTTTTAAAGAAAAAAATATTGAAAAGGATAAAAATCATCATAAGAACAATCCATCCCTAAACCTCAATATTACTAACAATTGTTTGTTTATTTATTTTGACTTACATGTTTTTGGGTTGCAAGAAATGCAAGTTCTACGACAATGTGGTGAAACTTGTAGACCTTTGTGGATGAATGAAAAGTAAAGAGTAACAAAAGACTCTATTATCCTTAGGCAATTCAGTGTGGACGCAATTCTAAAATCTGATGTGCTAAAATGTTTTGAAACAATCCTCCGAAGGAAAATAAAGAAAAATAGAGTGGACCATTTTTTTACATGGAATAATTATAATATATTATACAAACAATATAACATACTTCATCCGTGCATATCCAAGCCCAAGTTAGAAAATCATCTCATTGTTTCCATTAATATAAGAATTGTTTTTGTTGAGATTCTCATGTTAGATGATATCCCACTAGAAAACGTTTTCTCCAAGCATTACATGCATTCCACATACTCTTTTTACTGAAAAAAAATCAAATGTTTACTTCATATGATATATTAGCTTCAGTGTTTTTGTTTGTTACATTATTTTTTTTTAATTTGAGGATACACAAAAAAAATTCCACAGAAAGATTGGTACAGAGCCTCTTTTTCTTTTTTTTTTCTTTTTTTTTTTCCTTTTTTAAACCATTGGTTACAATTTTTTTGCCAGTATCGATTTCATATTACTTCCTCTGTGATGTACACAAATGCCAAAAACTGCTTTGATTCACATCTTATCTTTTTCACACAACATTTTCAAAAGCACACACTTGTTGGATTGATTTTCTTAAGAGGTTAAATGATACAAGTTATAGTTTGAAAAGGCACTTTCATCAAAGAAAACTTCTGCTAAATCTAAAAGTTTTTAAAAGTTTAACTTTGTGTTATAAAATATTTGATTGATTATATATATTTTTATATCCTTTTTATAATATGAAATTTCATTATTTTTAATAAGAAAAATGTGAATTTCGAGGTAATTAATATAATTTGTGAAACAGGAGATAATGCTTATTTATGTTTTCGCTTTTTCTTTCTTTGGGCATATGTAGATTTTAAAAAGCAATCAATCAACATCAAAACGGTACAGTGTTACATTTTATAATCACAAACCTACAAATTCTACAAATTTAATTAATTAATTTTTTGGTACTTAAACAAGATAAATATTTTTTAAACATTGAAAAATGTAATCAATTGTATTATTTTCTTAAAATCATATATATATATATATATATATATATTTAACATTTTATATTTTAATAACCACAGTAATAATTTTAGAGAATTAATCATAAGATGAGCATACACACAAAAATGTAAGTTAATACAAATCTTAGACCCAAAGTACTTTGATTCATTTATACAACCAGATCACAGTGTTTTGACTGTATTAACAAAAAAAAAACTTAATTGACAAATGTATGGTCCTTTAGGAGTTCAAGGATTATTTTGGACAAAGATTAAACAAAGATGTCATATAATCAATGTATATTTAACAGATACTTCGTAGAATATTTTTCAAGAGCTTGTCAGATTAAGATGGACAGAATCTTCTTAAATTTAAATAGAAAATTCATAGCTTCTTTCATGCAGATAAAGCAATATACAATTGCTCAAGCCATGGTTAAATAAATCTCATCCAAATTACAACCTTTTTATAGACTTGTAGAGATTTTAGGATTGCCTCAAGTAATTATGTTTATTTTGAAGATATGTATTAAGAAAGTAGGGATGTACTAACAAGTACAAAGATTAACTTAATTAATGACTCACTACAATATCAAATACAAATTGTTTGTAGTAACAACAACAAATGGCATGTTCAAGTGTCATTGCTCCAACTTTATTGGAATGCAAAAAAAAAAAAACAAAAAAAAAAAAAAAAACAAAAACAAAAACAAAACAAAACAAAACAAAAACATTTATATAAACAAATAAACAAATTGCACATGAATAGAAGTTGTATTCACCTAAATTTCAATCATAGGTTCTAAATGTATGAAAACATGTATATGTGAAAGCTAAGCCTAATAATTTGCAAATAATTAAACCAAAGCATAACAAGTCTTGAACATTGGCTTGTAATATTATATATATATATATATATATATATATCATAAAGATACATAATCAAATTTGTAAAGAAACCATATCTAATGGTCTATCATTGTACTATGCATTGTTTTAATTAATGTATATATTAAAGAATTATAATGCAATTCTAAAACAATACAAATGAGTTGATAAAATTTTAAATAAACAAAACCTAAAGGAAAGAAGAGTTGAAGTACACAAGTACGAGAGGTAGAAGAGATGTTGATAAAAGAAGACAAATCAATGTGTCACAAAGTATTAATGGACAAAACTAATTTCTAGTTAAGAGTGGTGAGATTATAGCAATCTAAACTAATCTCTTGTATCTTATTAAAGAATGTAAGATTTGGTATATCATGATAAAAACATGTAATATCTTATGATGTGAATATTAAAGCAACTAATATAATTTAAGATTTAAAGTAACGAAGCTGGTTTAGTTATTAGTGAAAATAAAATCTGAAATTTTTAGAGACTTACTGATCCTTGAGCACAACATTTTAAACTTGTAGATTAAAGAAATATTTTTTTCATTTTTGAGCTAAAGAGATGTTGACAACCATATTAAAAGATGTTTTTTTGAGTAGTTATATTATTATAATATTTTTGTGCTATATTCTAATGTAGGGTTTTAAGCCTTAAAAGTTAATAACTTCTATCTTAGTAACTTTCAAAGACATGAATTTAAGAGAGAAAATAATCATAGAAAGCTAATGTTTCAAATGATATATTACAAAGAAATAACCAGTTAAACTTACTTGTACAAGATGCAAGACTAAGACCCCTCCAACAAGAGTATAATCCAAATTTCTTCTACATGAAGCATTAAATGTAATTTATTTAAGATATTTTCAAGTAGATAATTGCAATACTTGCCATGTACAACAAGATATAATTTAAACTTGCTTTCCAAAAAATGATACATGTCTTACTTCTACCAATAACTTAAAATCAATTTTACTTATTTCAAGCTTATGTATTTGCTATACTAAATCATTAAAAATATTAAAATATATTATTAAATAAGAACAAATATAAAAAAAAACATGTATGAAACATCTAATATTGTAAGGTAAAGAAATTACTTAAGAGCCACTAATCCAAGACATGATATTAAAGAAAAATAATCATCTATAATAGAAATATGTATATACAAATACAATATAAATCCTTTGCAAAATTAAAAATAAATAATAATATGTAAAATAACTTCTTATATTTTACATATTTTAAAAATATTCTACAAAATGATAATATATATATAACATTATAACTACTTAATACACTATTTAGATTATAATTTTTAAACTACATAAAGCTTTCATATGTCTAAATCATATATTTAAAAAAAAATGAAAAAACAATATGTTACACCTATATTGTACATCATATGATCATATTCTACATTCAACTATATATCATTTGAGATTTTGATTGCTTCATAAATTGCTACACCAAATTTTTAGCATTAAGTGTGTGAGATTTAATATGTTCACATGTAACATTTTAAATCTTAAATTGGACTATTAATGTATGTTATGTGACAATCTACCATGTTAACATGCAATGCGTTGGACTGTGGTGCCATGTTAAATAAAAATATTTTTAAAATTTAACTTACAATCTTTGTACGTTTATTTTTTTTAGTGTATTAAATCTATTTTAAGTTTATGTTCTACACTGCTATTTAATTATTCTTTTACACCCTGAACATCGTTGACAATTATATTATGTTTTTGTGCTTTTTGTTTATTTTTATTTTATCTATATATGTGAGTATTAATATATTTTTTAAATTAAATAAAAATGTGTCATTTTTTACAATAAAAATATATTTAAATATATATATATATATATATATAAAAGAATCCTACCATACTTAATCTTAAACAAACCATTCATTATTATTATTATTACTACTACTAATGTCATATATTAAATTTTAAAATATTTTATTATTTTAAAATTTACTTCTAATGTATCCTAAGGTTCTATCTAAGTTGTACGTAACTTTAAAATAAATACTGAATTTATTTTAGGTACTATTTTTATAATATATCTATTTAAAATCATTATAAATATTTTACCATCTAAAAGCATATTAATGTTATAGAATTTCTCAAACTTCGAATTGACTGTCTTTCACGTATATCTACTTAAACATTTAAAAGTAGTAAAATAAGTAAAACCCCTCATTATTGATGCTTAAAAATAGACAATTTGAATTCAAGGACCTAAAACATGTTTCCAAACAACATTGTCTTTGAAAAAAAGTCATAAAATCAATTTACACCATTTCTATGTTTTACACTATATACACATATAAAAAATTGGTCCAAAACAAAAAAAAGAAAAAAAGAAAATAAAATCATGTAAATAAATTCTGCAAAAAAATCACAAAGTTCAGAAAATTCAATAGATTTTGGACTCAAGAAAATAATGTCAATTTCTTATATAAAAAATCTCAAGGAATAAACCAAAGGAGACAAAAACTATCTCTAACAAGCTACATATCTCATTGTTTTCATCAAAAGTGAAGCAATCAATCAACTTTTAATTAATTAGGGATGTAAATTTGCATGTTGCAAGATCACTACGTGTGGAGCTTGGAAGCTCCCAAAAAATAAATAAACTAACAAATATTTGCCATCAGCCACTTTTTTTGTGGCCATCCGCATAGGTTTCTACTAGTATAAAATAGAGAAGAAAGTGTCATAGAACTAACCTTCTACCACACAATTACAAAAAAATATATAAAATAAAAAACATGATACGTAGTTGCTTCATCTAGCAACATACTGACATCAAAAGGTTTTCTATGTAATAGAGAAGAAGCAACAATGCATCAAAGACAAACACAACATGAACAAACACACAATCACAACCATAGACTAAGAGCAACGAGACGGCGAGCGAGTTCCCAGAACGAGAAGACGACGGCGACGGCGTCGGTTCAAGGGGGGCGATGACGGAGGATGGCAGGGGGGTAATGGCGGACGGCGACCCAGCGAGGGAGCCGTCCAATGGACGGGCTAGGACCATATACGTGGTCACAGCGGCTCCGCCCCCATCGGATCGGATAGGACAGGCGGGGCCCAACGCTTGAATCGCCACCCGATCGGGGCCTGCAACCGCAAAATCCCTTCGCCCTCTCGCTTCAGCGGTGGCTTGTTCGTCAGGAACGTGGATTGCTTCCAGCCCGCGCACTTCAAATCGGATGCAACCGCACCTTGTTGGCCCGTGGGTGTCGCTACACTGTAAGTTTGCTGTATTGGGTAGTCGCGAATTTTGTTGGTTTGGTCATTTTTTTTACTTATTCCAACAATTTGCAGTTGGTTTGTAAGTTTTGGGTGTTGTTGAATGCCGTGATGGTTTGTTAGTAGGGAATTGGGAGCTTAAGTTTTTGTGGGAGGTGGGTTTGTGTACAGGATTTTGGAGGTGTTTTTTTCTTTATCTTTTCTTTTCCTGGGTGCGGGAGCGAAGGGTTTGAGGGATTTGTGAGGGTTTTGTAGCGATGGCCCAGGTGATCGGATTGACAGCGTTGCCGCCATGCGCGATTAGCAAGAGTCGTGCTGCTGGCAATGGGGTGTCGAGCTCTAAGCGTGTAGGGAAAGCGTTTTTGCGGTCGTCGGTATTGGGTAACCGGTTGGGGTCGCCTGCGTCGGTGGAGCTAGCCGCAGCGGAGAGGAGAAGTCTCGTGGCGAGAGCGTCCCTCAAGGATGTGAACAGCATTCCCGCTGCCGCTATGGCGTCGCTCGTATTGGCTCTTGCTGGTAGCCCTGCTGTGGCTGCTGATGTAACGCCTCCTCTCCAATTCGCCCCAGCTGGGAGCGAGGTTACCCAGATTCAGACCAAGCCCGTAGAGAATGCGCTTGTGGGCGCGGCCAAGGCGGCACCCGCAGTCGCTGCGAAGAAGGTGTCGGACTTGCCCGAAGGCACGAACTGGCGATACAGTGAGTTTTTGAATGCCGTGAAGGGAGGAAAGGTGGAGAGGGTTAGGTTTGCCAAGGATGGCACCACCCTGCAATTGACAGCGATTGATGGCAAGCGGGCCAACGTGACCTTGCCCAATGACCCTGACTTGGTTGACATTCTCGCCATGAACGGTGTGGATATCTCTGTGTCGGAGGGTGAGGCAACCAACAGCTACATCAATGTTTTGGGCAATTTGCTTTTCCCTCTATTGGCCTTCGGTGGGCTGTTCTTCCTCTTTAGGAGAGCTCAGGGCGGCCAAGGTGGACCTGGAGGTTTGGGCGGACCCATGGACTTTGGCAGATCGAAATCGAAGTTCCAGGAGGTGCCCGATACCGGTGTGACCTTCGCTGACGTTGCCGGAGCTGATCAAGCCAAGTTGGAACTACAAGAGGTTGTCGATTTCTTGAAGAACCCCGACAAATACACTGCCCTCGGTGCTAAGATTCCCAAGGGATGTCTGCTCGTCGGCCCACCTGGAACAGGAAAGACTTTGCTCGCAAGAGCTGTTTCCGGAGAGGCTGGTGTCCCATTCTTCTCATGCGCAGCCTCCGAATTCGTCGAACTCTTTGTTGGTGTGGGAGCTTCCCGTGTTCGTGATTTGTTCGAAAAGGCCAAAGCGAAGGCCCCTTGCATCGTTTTCATCGATGAGATTGATGCCGTTGGAAGGCAGAGAGGTGCCGGTATGGGAGGAGGAAACGACGAACGAGAGCAGACCATTAACCAGCTGCTCACAGAGATGGATGGTTTCAGTGGCAACAGTGGTGTCATAGTGTTGGCTGCCACCAACAGACCCGATGTGCTCGACTCTGCTCTTCTCCGACCCGGACGATTTGACAGGCAGGTCACCGTCGACAGGCCAGATGTTCAAGGGCGTGTTAGGATTCTTCAGGTACTTCCCTTGGATTTTTCTCAGTTGTACTGGTCCTCTTACCAAATTTTGCTTGCCTTTCGTCACGATGCATGGTTGACCTTAAAGCGTGTTGAAAACCATTTTTGTGTTCAATAGTAATCCAGATTGTCTTTGCTCTTCCCCTTTAGGTTCACTCTCGTGGTAAGACATTGGCCAAGGATGTCGACTTTGAGAAGATTGCAAGGAGGACGCCAGGGTTCACCGGTGCCGACTTACAAAACTTGATGAACGAAGCTGCTATCTTGGCAGCTAGGCGGGAGTTGAAGGAGATCAGCAAAGATGAGATTGCCGACGCGTTGGAGCGTATTATCGCTGGTCCAGAGAAGAAGAACGCTGTTGTCTCTGAAGAGAAGAGGACATTGGTCGCGTATCACGAGGCTGGACATGCACTGGTTGGTGCTTTGATGCCCGAGTATGACCCCGTGGCCAAGATCTCCATTGTTCCCCGTGGAGGCGCTGGAGGATTAACCTTCTTCGCTCCCAGTGAAGAGAGGCTCGAATCCGGCCTCTACAGCAGAAGCTACCTGGAGAATCAGATGGCCGTTGCTCTTGGTGGAAGAATTGCCGAGGAGCTCATCTACGGTACCGAGAACGTCACCACCGGTGCTTCAAACGATTTCATGCAAGTTTCCCGTGTGGCTCGTCAGATGGTGGAGCGATTTGGCTTCAGCAAGAAGATTGGGCAACTCTCACTCGGCGGCGGTGGTGGCAACCCCTTCTTGGGTCAGTCCGCCGGGCAACAATCTGACCATTCGATGGCCACCGCAGATGTTATCGATGCCGAAGTAAGAGAGTTGGTCGAGACTGCCTATACGCGTGCTAAGACCATCATGGAGACCCACATCGACATCCTGCACAAGCTCGCGGCTTTATTACTTGAGAAGGAGACCGTGGACGGCGAGGAGTTCCTCAACTTGTTCATTGATGGACAGGCTGAGCTGTATGTGAATTAGAATCGTTGGATTGCTCTTATTTATGTAGAGATTAATGTAGAGAATGCTAAAGAGCTGAGAGTTGAGAGGATTTGTTCAATATTGTCCAAAGCTCAGGTATATGGCATCTGTAGAGACGGTGATTGGCTGTCTGGGGATGTCGTATCTGCTGTACACTACTGTTGACTGATCTCGCCGTGTCGCAAGCGGCGTTTCTTATGTAACACGTTGCATTCCTTCAATCTTTCTTGTCCGTGGTCTGGATGGTTGAAATGAGAACCGAGATTTTGGGTAGCAAGGTGAGCTTTTCGTAGTTTGGTATTTCTCTGCATAGGTAACACACGTTATTGATGTCATATCTTATGAGTGCTGGTTTCGATCACCCCATTTGCGTCGAAATTGTCCTGCCATTTGAGGTAAACTCCAGATCCCTCTTTACTTGCATTCCTTGTACACGACATGCTGTTTACTTACCAAGGCTCTTTGCAGACGACACATCAGATTCGAAACCTTTTGGGACGTTATGCTAATTTCCCTTCATGTGCTATAATATAAAATGCACACGATTCGGTTCAATAAATTTGATTCGTCCTGGTGGGAAGTTCATAAAAGTGAAGGTGTATCTGCATCCTTTGCCTGGTTCTGCAATATTCTGCAGCCAAGTCTTTGGCGAAGCATTTTGCTTCTTTTAGTTTACAATGGAGTTCATTTTGTCTTAGGATTCTCAGATCTTGTGTGGATTCAAAGTCTAGTTGCAGTAATATTTCTCAAAGTATCTGCTTTCTGCAAAAGAGACTTGAAAGTGATAAGGCTTTGTTAGAATGTGACTTTACTGGGTGGCATATAGTGATCTATTCTACAAGTTCTTGCTCATTTGCTGACTATGCTCAGGTTGACATGGATCGTTGCTTAGTACAAAAGAGACACTGAAACTATCACAGTATACATTTTGATCTGCACTTAAAAAGGAAAATTATCATCAATTATTTTTGTACAATTTATGAAAAATTATGATTTGAAGATTGAATTTTTAGTGGTAATTGTTTAACTAAAGGTTTATATTAGGTTAATTTAGAATTTTTACCTTATTAGTTTTATTGACGAGTTTTAATAGTAAACTAGATGAATCCATGTCGTTGTCACGGAAAGTATGCATCAAATGAAGCTATTTTTGAAAGATGTGTTTGTGAATTAAAGAATATTTTTTATATATAAATACAATACAATACAAATAGAAAGAAATAAAATACACAATGGAGCTTTCAGCTACAAAGTAGGATATATAAACCCATATTGTTGTCATGAATAATATGCAAAAAAAGTGGTTAATTTTGTTAAATCCATGCTGTTGGCCACGTTTTTATGCTAGTTTTAATACAATAGGCTAGTTTTTTCCATTTATTTTGTACTTTTTGGTGTTTATATGATAAAACAACTATACTTATTCAAGAAAAATTCTAACTCACCTATCACATTCAATCAACAATTGCATAATAAATTTAAAATAGAATTACTATAATAATATAGTTGGTGAATACAATTGGGATTTTGTATTGAAGGAGAATGTACTAAACATGTGATAGGAACTTAATTATGGATTACAAACTACAAACTTTTAATTTTATATTAAACATGATTTATAAAAATCATATGTAGTATAGGCAAGTAGTTCCTAGAATTATTTTCTCACAGATACTTTTCTCTCACCGCACCCAAATATACATATCTAATAAATTTTTAGTTTCCATGATTCTTTGTTATCAATATGATCAAAGTTTGATTGAGTGATTATGTAACCAATAAGAATGGTTTCTAGTCCTTTACTGATGTTGATTCAGGTCTAGTTCTTATCAAGTAATGTAATATTAATTAAAAATATTAGTAAGTGATTGATTTTTAAATTGAATTGTTAAAGATACAATTTGCACAAATTTCTTTTTCTCTCTTTTTTTCCAAAAAAAAATAAAAATAAAAATAAAAAAACAAAAACAAAACAATTGCCTCCAATACACAACCTATACCAAAGTTGTCCATTTGCCTAGGAATAGATTATTTTGGTATTAGTAATAATATCACAAACTGTTCATTTACAATTTCATGGTGTCTTTGTCAATCTTTGGGGTCTTCTATTGTTATTACCATCGATGAGTTCACATACAAGATGCCTTGATTTTTGAGTGCATACTCTTATTTTTCACACCCAATTGATCTTGTTATTACTCTCTCAATTTCCAACAATATGTCTTCTTTCTAGACATTATTTTACTCTACCAACATCACCTCTCCAATTTCCCTCACATTCTTCACAAATGGACTTACAAAATTTCTTATATCTAGATTGCTATCAAATGGAATTAAAGCACCATTTGCATACACAAATGATTCAAGATTCATGCTAGCAAAAACATTATACCACAAATCATCTTATTTAAAGTTGTGGTATGCTCCACCGCAACTATGTATACTCTAAAATATATACTTTCAAAATACGATAACATTTGAGGCATCTTACCTCCAAAATACTTGATGAGGTTGGCATCTAAGAAATGATCAAAGCACAACATTTGTGCATGTATGCAAGAATGAATCATGGTGATAGGCTATTAAGTCAATAATATCCTTTCAAGTGGATATGCATCATGAGCTTGAGAATCAAAGTATTTTGCTTATGATCCAATCTAGAGCCTTTCCAACTCTGATTAATCTATTGAATTTTTGTCAAAGTGATGGATGAATATCCACAACATACTGAGCTCACTTCACATGTAAAAGAAGGTGAATATTATCATATGTAGTAAATAACTCATATTTACAAATCACTCACATATCAATAACTTAACTAGTAACACCAACAATCTATTGTCAAACCTCACAAAACAAACTTCTTACAATAATATACAAAATTGTTCATTCTAACAAGTACTATTTTAACATCATCTCCTCGCTTATCAACCATTGGTAATATTAAAGCCCCTTTTGAATCCAAACAAAGAAAAATCTTCATAGATACTAATGATCTCAACATATCACTAAACTCTTTAGTTAGCTAAAGTTGAACACATCACCTCTTTCCTTCTTTCTTCTTATACTCAATTTTTTGATCTGCTAAATAAAATTCCATTATTAGACATACATCGCAATTTTTTTTTTATTGGAACTCTAGCACATTCCATCTCACTTTCAAAGTTGAAGATCTTTGATATTGGATTCATAAATATTTGTATAGTTACACAAAAACAACTTTGATTTCTTTTATAATTTACAAATTGTACTATGAGAACATATCTTATGAAATGAGCCTGCTCTATTTCTTCTATTATACACAAATTGTACTATGAGAAACATTTTACATGAAACCAAAAAAAAATTGTAAAATTGAAATGGTTGAAAAGTAATCCAAAAAAAGCAAAGAAATCAAAAGGACTCACATCCTTCATCACTTCTAATTTTTAAAATGATGCAAATTCTCAAATGATGCAAAAAGTCAACTTCAAAATTAACTTGTGTTTATAATTTTTATTGAAATTTATATTCATAATTTTTAATCATCATATTATTATAAATTATTGGTTGATATAAAACCTTAGTTTAGAATAAAAAGTCCTTGTCAAAGATATAAACATTAAAGAATTAAAAGGTCAATACACTCTTGTGCCACTCAAAAAAGACTATAAAATTATTTAAAGATAATATAATATTAAATTAGAATGGCTATTGCTAAAGACAAGAAGACTAAAAAGTCTTGAAATAAGACTAATAATTAGAAAGGCATTGATAAGAGTGAAGAAGTCTTCACTCTTGCCTCTATATATATTCTTAATTAGGAAATACGTGGCGATATTCCATAAGACCTCCAAAACGTGTTGATTTTGAAAGACATGTATCTTAACTTGCAAGGCAAGTTTTTTACATGTGCACCATATAATTAGCTTGTTTTATAAGCTATCAAATATAATTAACTTCTTTACCAAATTTTTAGTCTATCAATCAATTATAAACATATGTAAAGTCAAAGAAGTATCTATATAGCTTCTACAAAGCTCTTCTAAAAGATATCATGAAATACATCTACTTTTATCTATTTCTATTTAATCATATAGATAAATATTAAAGTAAATATGTATGTTTGTGATATTACTCTCCTTTTTTAGGCATGCATTCCATGAAGAGTGGTCATCATCTTTCATATATTTTATAATTCTTCATCTTGATTTTGATGGATGTTGCCAATGAAAAGCTTCAACTATCTTTGATGGATTTGTAAGATTCTTTGCTGGCTCTCATGTGCATTTACTAATATGATATTTATATCAATGAATAAGATATATTAATCTATTTTGGTACCAATTTAAATCTAAGACTTCTTCCACCTCAAATTCTTCATTATTATCTACTTCTATAGGAAGAGGTGGTATTTGTCTTCTTTCCAAAATATTCATTGTCTTATATAGCTCAAGAAGAGATACGTAAAATATACGATGGATCTTCATAAATTTTGATAGATGTGATCAATAAGCAACATGATTGATTTCTTTAAAAATAGAAAAAGGTCTAAGCCTACAATAGTCCAACTTGTCATAAGGACAAGTAGTCTTAATATTGTGACAAAGTAGCCTACTCTCTCATTCACATTGAATTATGGTTGTTCCTTACAATAGACATCTCCATTAAACTTTTGTTGTTTTTGAGCTTTATTTAAGTGTACCTTTATTGTTACATATAGTATTAATAAAAAATTTGCTAAATCTTTTATTTTCAGATTATAAACTTTTGAAAAGTCTTCAAAATCTTGATACAAATTGAGTCCTCCTATTCAATATAATATCTATGGAGAATTCATGATAGTGATTAATATTATCAAGAAAAAGCTTAGCCATTTCTTCACTTGTGATAGATTTTGTATATGATACAAAATATGCCATCTTGATAAAACAATCTACTATCATGAATATAGAATCACATAAACTTAAGATTGAAAGATCTATAATAAAATCTATAGTAATAAAAGACCATGGTTGTTTTAAATAGATAATGGTTGAAGAAGTATATAAGATCGATCATGAGGAGTTTTTGATCTTAAATAAATATCACATGATTGTAAAAAGTCTTTAATTACTTTTTATATTTGAAGCTATCAAAAATCTCTCAATATTTGCTTCAAAGTCTTATTGTATCCAAAATGTCTGATTGTTAGAAAGTTATAACAAGCTTGAAGAACACATCATTGTGCCTTATTTTTTGAAATATATAATCATTCTTCAAAATAAAGTAGATTATTCTTGATTTCAAACTTAGAAATATCATAAGACTTAAAAAAGTTATTCTTGATATTATGAATAAGAAGATTAGAGGACACACCTAATTGAATTTTTTTGACAAAGATTGAATCAATAATTAATATTGATTTTATTGCTCAAAGATTAAAAATTTTTAAATTCAAGAGAATCATTCTTTTTTAATCAAAAGTTGCATTTTCTTCTTTTTGTGCAAGAAAAAAACATCTTGAAAGGACGTTTGATAAATCTTGTTGTTTCTTGGATGAATAAGTGATCTTGAAATCAAATCTTGATAAAGACATGCTCCAACAAGCTTGGCAACAATTTAAAATACATATTGATATAAAATAATCAAGATTCTTATGATCCGTATATATAATGACTAGACTAAAAGCGCCTTCTAAATAATGATGTCATTCTTTAAATGAATCCACAATTGCAAGAAGTTCTTTGTTGTAGATCTCATAGTTAATCTTGGCTGCTGAAAATTTTCTAGAATGAAAAACTATTAGATATAGCTTGTCATCTGCTCCGATTTGTGACAAAATAAGACATATATCAAAGTCTCATGTATCTATTTTTATGAAGAACGGCTTCAAAAAGTCGATAAAGTATAAGTTTGGTATAGAAATAAATGTTGTTTTCAAGGCTTCAAAAGATGGTTCAACTTCTTTATTCTATTCAAGTTTGTCTTTACATATCAAGCGTATAATAAGAGCCACAACTTGAAGAAAGTTCTTGATGAAGATCTAATAATAATTGACAAATCTCAAATAATATTGGACATCTTTAACTATTTTTAAAATCTTCCAATCTATGATAATTTGGACCTTAAGATAGATCATAAGACTATTGTTTAAAATGATGTATTCTAGAAAGTCAACTTAAGTAGTGTGAAATATAGATTTTTTCATCTTTGCAAATATTCTTATATTTCTTAGTTTTTGTAATACACAATGAATATAAAATTCACACTCTTTTGTATTCTTAGAATAGATCAAGATATCATCTAAATAACAAAAAATAAAATTATTAAGAAACTCACAAAAGACATCATTCATTAGATGCTAAAAAGCAACTGATATATTTGTGACTCCAAAAGACATGATATTATATTTGAAATGTCCAAACCTGGTTTGAACTACATTTTTCTATATATTTTCTTTTTTAATACATACCAAATTATATGCTCTTTTAAATCTATTTTCGTATAGATTTTTACTTAATTTAGTTGATCAAGAAGTCTTAAAATCAAAGATAGATGGTACTTATTTTTGATGGTGAGTCCTTAATAGTGCACACACATCAAAAATAGGTACCCTCTATGTTGAATCCTTGATAGTGTATATACACCTGTAGAGATTTGTTTTTTTTTTCTTTACAAATAAGATAAGAGTCTTGGCTAGAGATTTAGAATGATACATAAAGTTCTTAGCCAAATTCTCATTAATGTATTCTTTGAGTATAGCCATTTCATTTTGTAATAGGCTATAGATTGGTCCAAATGGTGGTTAAGTTCATTCTTGAAGTTCAATGGAATAATCATAAGGACAAATAATCAATGGTTGCATGCAATAGCTTGAGTAATAAATTGTTCAAAAAATTTTGTTTTTGATATTATCAATAACAAATCTTTGACATTTTTCTTCAATTCATATCAAAATTGATTGATAAGGAATTTTTTATCCCAGTCTACGTCGCAAGCAAGGTTTTGGAATTTTGCAATATATATAGTAGCTGATTGTGATCTTTATCATAAAGATAAGAACTTAGTCTCTATTGCTCTTTTTTGATTACTTTCTCTAAATGTGGCCATAAACACTTTTAGGAATGAATTCAAATCATGAAGGACTTATGAATTCTTTTATATCAAAGGTGCAAACTAAAAGAGATTACTTTTAGATAGAAGTACACCTATGAATCCAATTTGAGTAAATCTATTAGGATATTGGAAGGACTGCAATCTTAGATAAAGCTTGACTTGTTGTAAAGATCTTCAAAATTTTGAACTTATTCCATCAAAATTCTTAAGCATATTAATCCTTGTCTCTGTTATATTTGTAGAAGCAAAACTTTTTAGATTTAGTTCTGAGATCAATTTATTTGCTTTCATGAACTATAAAATTTCTAGATACAAACTATGAACTTCTTCCATAGGCATAAGATTAGTATTTTTGTGGTTGACGCTTATCATGAATGAAATTTCCACTTGAAGAATGTTGACAAGTTCATAAAGATTTGCAATAGTTGCAAATCTATTCTTACTTTTGTCAAGTAAAACATCCATAATTTTTCCTTCCATTTCAAGTAATTTAACAAATTGACAAGTCAAATTAGAGGAAGATAATCCACAACCTTTAATGTTGAAAGAGAGATAATCTTCTCTCTTTAAGGAAAAAATTCATATTAGAAATTTTAACAATTTGTTGAAAGAAGGATAATCTGCAATCTTTAAAATACAACAATAGAAGTAGGATTATTAATTCACTTCTAAAACAAAAGAAGAATAATGAATTAGCATTCTTCTCAAATTGTTAAGGACATGAACCTCTAAGAAATAAAAGGCCAATACACTCTTGTATCACTCAAAAAAGACTATAAAATCACTCAAAGATGATATAGTATTAAATTAGAATGGCTATTGCCAAAGATAAGAAAACTAGAAAGACTTGAAATAAGACTAAAGACAAAAAAGGCATTGATAAGAGTAAAGAAGGCTTCACTCTTGCCTCTATATATACTTTTAATTAGAATCTATGTAACAATGTCCTATAAGACTTCTAAAATGTGTTGACTTTGCAAGACACATAAACTTGCAAGACAAGTTTTTATATGTACACCATATAATTAGTTTATTCAATAAGCTACAAATACATGGTTAACTTGTTGATTTAGTTTCTAGCCTACCAATCAACTACAAATATATGTAAAGTCAAAGCAACATCTATGAAGTTTCTAAAAAGTTTCTTTAGAAAATATTATAAAATAAATCTACTTTTATCTAATTTTACTTAATCATATAGGTAAATATTAGAATAAATATGTATATCTATGATAGTTCTATCTAGTATAAATGTTCTTTATCTAATCGATATGGTGTCCTTAATCATATATTTAATTTCAAGAAATTTACCTCATCATAAAGAAATTAAAAATAAAATGTTTTAAATAAATGAATAGGTTGTGAAAAAAAGACTTGCTACCATTGTAACATTTAGGATGATGATATGCTTCACGGATTTAGCTAAAATTTCATAATGAGCATATTTCAAGAAGGTATTCTGCAAAATCCAAATAGGACTATGCAAGATATGTCTGTTCAAGAATAAGCTAAATTCTAAAATTCATTAGTAGAATTCATATGTACTAAGAAGAACCACAAAATCAATTTAAAAGAAAATAGATAAGACATTTTGACTTGACTAAGTTATCCAATATTAATTGATATTCCAAAAAATCCAAGTACAAACTTTCAACACATATCTAAGGATTGTTGTAAGTTCAACGTCAATATTTGGTACTAACCAATCTGCTCTATATACAAAAGGCATCACAAATGATCAAAATTTATTTATCAGAGAATAAAAGAAGAATAGAATAATATATGTTAGATTGATGTAAAATAATAGAAGATACGAAAAAGAAGGAGTGAGGCTTCTATGAACAATACAAGTTGATAATAATAGAAAAATAGAGATGTCTACAAAAACCAAATGAGGAGGTCGAAGAAGGACTATGAAGCTTTTGAAAGCTCCAAAAGTACTATATGAGATTTATATATAGCATTAACAATGCACCATAGAAGTAGACACTCCTATAAACACTTTTTTAAAACACAATAAAAGAAAATAATAAAAACCAATAAAAATGGACACAAAAATAAAAAAGATCAGAGGCACAAAGAAGGTGCTCCATGAGGCGTCCCTTAGATTGAATCTTGGATATATTGTACCTTAATCCTATTGGAGGTCAAATACACAACCACAAAACTACCTAGTTGTGATTACAAAATCAAGGTCTCACCAAGTTGCAAAGCATCTATGTGCACCAAATGAAGTATTTTTTTAGATAATTTTTTAGTCTGTTGCCACATCTGCATTCATGCAACTAGAGAAGCACAATAGAGGTGATCACAACATAGTTGATCATAGTATTAGAATCCAATGAAAATCAAAATCCAATGAAAATCAAAATCCAATGAATTGGAATCCGCTATGTAAATTGTTGCAAAACTTGAAGCTATTGTGCTATGTAAAAAGATGTCTTTGACTACACAACAATACATTGAAAGCCCGATCAAGGCCAAAACAAAAACCTCTACTTAATGAACACATGTTGTAAACTCCAAAGAACGTAAATTTTTTTTGATGAAATCAAAGACCATTCCATGCAACAAATGAGAACCACTATTTGTCTTGGCTATTTATCTCCTTAAGCAATGAAAACCAAGAAGGATCTATGCGATGAATGAAATCCACCACTTGTCTCTTTGAGCAACCTTAACGTATAGATAGTGACACAAAGTAACTTTCATAATTATGAATAAAATTTTGTGCATCGAATCAAAATGTGAATTATCAAACTTGTGCATAGAAAATATGGTTTTCCAAGACTAAATTCTTTTGCCTAGTCAAATAATAATCAAACACATTAGTATGTAAAAATTCTACCACATATAATGAATATTTATTATGCTTATTTAGTAGAATCACAGAACAAATATGACAAATTTAACATTTTAAATAATTCTTTTCTATTTCTAATCATATAAATCATTAAATCAAATATGAAACTAAAAAATATGCACTAACATAATTAAAGGATATCTTTTTGTATATATTGAAAGTGCTATGATTGGAATGAATAAATAGATCACAAAAGTTGACTTCACTAGCACATCGACGTATTATGCAATGCTTCCGAATGATGTTTTAATTAACCAAAGCGTGTAAATCAATATAACATTAAAAAAACGTATGATTAAGGAAATGCCAAGTTTAAACAAATCCAATTTATATGCTTCAAACTGCATACAAAAAACTAGGATGCTCTAAGCTAAGGGAAATAACAGTGACCTGCAACCTGAAACAAAGAAACTATAAAAAGTAATAATAATAATAATAATAATCATAAAAATAAAACAAAAAAAAACTCTACTGTCGTGTATTTCATGTATGTTACATCAACTTACATGTCAAGTCCGTAAAAATATCCTCGTTCTGAATAAGTTTCTGCAAAATTCTGTTGCTAACTACCCTGATCTCATCCGTTAAATGCAGTGAAAAAATCAATCGTGTCCTGTAAGCCCTTGATAAATGTGTCAACCTCATCGGTGGTGTTGTAGAAATACAAGCTTGCTCGAGCACTGGCATTGATGCCCAGATGCCGATGCAGAGGTTGCGTGCAGTGGTGACCAGATCGCACAGCAATCCCGTGCTGTAATTCAATTGCCACAGTAAGTTTCGTTTCATGGAAGTGAGTTTCTTGCAGATGAGAAACTGGTATCAATTACGACATTCTAAGCTTGCTGGGGCACAAAACATGGAAAATTATAACTAAACTAGAATAGTTATAATTTTTTTATTTTGAATCCTGACCAATCGTCAAACCGTTGTCAAATCGAAGATACCTTGAATAATGGGGGCATAGCTAATAAAATGAAGCAAGTTATAGAGCTAAGGAAAGAAGCGAACTGGAAAGTAGTGCACCTGTTGATCTAGGAACGTTGATAGATCCGTAGCGTGAATACCCTCCACATTAAATGCACACAAAGATGCACGGTTTTCACCATTAGGGCCTACTGGAGGACCATAGATCCTTACGCCTGGGACTTTTGATAGACTGTCGTACAAATATTTTGACAGTTCCATCTGCAAGACAGAATGACATAATTTAAAACATAGCCTTCTAATTGGCAGCTCTCCAAAGATGGTACTTCCAAGACGTCCTGACTTGAGAAAATGTACAAGTTTCCACTTCTCAAAACAAACGATTCTATTTTTAGTGATTAAGCAATGACTGCTATCTAACAAGCCTTAGAAATTTCGTTGCAACGTATAGTATACTAAGCCCAACTGAAAGCGACAACATAGGTAGTATTAAGTGTAGAAAAGCAGAACAGAACCTCGTATTTGTGTACACGATCCATTCCAATCTTGTTCAAGTAGTCCAATGCTGCCCCTAACCCAATAGCTTCTCCAATTGCAGGTGTGCCAGCTTCAAAACTGAGAAGATTTCCAAAAGCTTAGTTCTCAGCCAGTTCTTCCCAATTAACCGATGAGCACCGAAGATAACCCAAGGGACCATGAGCACTTATCACCAAGACAACAAACTATGTGAGTGCACATTACTTACCGTGAAGGTGGGCTAGCGTAAGTAGATCGATCTAGAAAAACATCAACGATCATCTCTCCTCCTCCTGCAAGAATAACCCAATATGATCATGTGGATGCAAATAAGAAAATAAAATATTGGTCATGTAACGCCATATACAAATATTCGAGCATAAAAATAATATCAAATCCCAAGTTTGAGGGGAAAGACCCTCAAAGGAGATGAGGCCCTATTCAATTCAGATGCCGCAGGATCTGAAAAAGGTAGCAAAATCCTTACCTAGGAATGGTGGCATTGACTCAAGAATTTCTGTTGTCCCCCATAGAAATCCCATGCCCGTGGGTCCGCACATCTGCAAAATTGGCAAATAGGACCTAAAAAACATGAGTATGCATTTGGAAATAAAAGCAAGAATGAACATAAGATCCTTACCCAGAAATGCACATTAACATAAATACAAGATTCCCAACTATTGAATTTGATATCAAAAAATCATGTTACAACCTTGTGAGATGATGCAACTAAAAAGTCGCCACCCAAGCCCTGCACATCCACAGGCATGTGCGGCACGCTTTGGCATGCGTCTACCAGAACCTTCGCACCCACAGCATGTGACCATTGCACAATGTCCGCAATGGGATTCACACAACCTGTCACCAAGCAGAAGAAGGCATTCAATACATGTGACACTTGTAAGGAACAGGCGATCTTTGGATAGGATACATACGTTATTGCTGAGTCCACTAGCTAAAAAGAAAAAACCAAACACTCTGACTCGGATTCTAGAGATATTCAAAAAGTCCTTTTTGTCTTACAAGTACAGTACATACCTAACACATTAGAGACATGAAATGTTGTAACCAGCTTGGTACGTTCATTTAAAAAGCCTTTGAGCTGCTCCAGATCTAGAGTTTCTTCAGGTGTTAATTCCACAAATCTCAACTTCGCCCCGGTTTTCTGCGCTACGAGCTGCCAAGGTACGATGTTGCTGTGGTGCTCAGCCACGCTCAAAACAACCTGCGCATGGTCATATCGACCAGTACCCCAGTTGAAGTCGTACTTCTCAACCATAAACCCTACTAACGAATTTTTAAAACTTTGAGGCTTGGGATCAAGCTGACTCTGCCACTGCCTCTAACAATCAACCGCCCGTCGACAAGAATACTCCGAATAAGACACATTTCTAAAAAAATAAACACGTCCAGACACGGCCTACCTCATCACCTTCCTTGAGGTTGGTGAGGCCCCACGTGTATGCGACAAGGTTGATGGCCTCACTGGCATTGCGAGTGAAGACGATCTCACGATCGCTGGGCGCGTTGATGAAGTCCGCTACCTTTTTCCTTGCCAATTCGTATTCATCCGTAGCCTTCGCACTACATTCCAGGCTGTTACAACATCGAATGGACGAATTGCTACTACACGTGTACTCTGGTAGTGGCTAAATTTGTAAAACAAACACTTGAAATCCAACTTGGCGAGTACGGCAACAAGACAAGTTAGACGCAGGCAATAATGGAAAAGTCTGAAAACGAAAAACACCTCAAAGCGTGGATTCCACGATGCACATTTGCGTTGTAGCCCTCGTAGTAATCCCGCAGAGCCTTAAGAACAGACGCAGGTTTTTGAGATGTGGCGGCATTATCAAGGTAAACCAACTTGTAACCGTTCACTTCCTGCGACGCGAAACCACGACACATGAGCCTCGTAATAAATGCGAAGATGACCTGGTCGCATATTGGCTCATCGAGCACATCGAACTACCTCCTTCAACAATTCAATCAATGCAGCACAAGCCAACATGCCAGCTGAACTATACGAATTCTGCCATCACTAATCACATCCACGAAAACCACCAAACACACCGCCACTCTCCGCACTCCAGTGTCCTAACCATCAATTCCCACCCTCCACACGACAAAGCAAATCACCTCTATCCCACACCAACAAAAGAAAAGCCAAGTACAAACCTGGTCGAGTATAGGGAAATCTCCTTTCGTGATCTCACCGAGAGACGATGCCTCGGTGATGTAATTCTCCACCGAAACGACAGACTTCACCACACCCGCTCCCGCAAACCGGCCTCCAATTCTCCGGCAATTGAGCGTCACTGGCGCAAATCGCTTGCCGAAACTAACTCCAGCGCACGAGGCCAGGCCGCTCTTCTCCACTGCGCCCAAACCTTGATGCAGGACCAGCGTGCGGCGAAACCCCAATTGAGCTGACGACGCCATAGCTGCCCAAATTGCGACAACAGAGCTCCTCGCATTCACGCCCACGCCACACCTTGTGGGGCTCTGGGAGGGCAAATCCTAGATAAACTGATTACTTTGGCTTGCGAATTTTCCAGAGAAGATCTTATTTCAACGCCATGGGGGAGATTTTGAGGTGCCTACGTGTGAGTCGGATTGCGACACCCAAGCTGACGTTGATGGATCGAAGATACGACGTAGCTATTTCGTACATGATTCCACTCTACAAAGAATGAAGATTTATTTGCGGAGAATGAATTTGGTTGAGAATGTGGGGTAGGTGCGACATGGTAATCACATCACGTAATCCTGAACAATGAGGCTTTATGGGAATTTAAAGAAAGTGGTGATTAGGATTAGTATGAACTTTGTGTAAAGTATTTGACATGTCTCTTGAATGCTTACATTGTATGCAACAAAAATAGAAGAATTATGTATAAATAGTGGAAATTTGTGTTGTTGGGCAATGAAAAGTTGTAAAATTTTAATTTGTGGTTGTTAAGTAAAAAATCAATCACTTGTAAAGCAACCAAGAATATATATATATATATATATATATATTTATTTATTTATATTTATTGATATATATATATATATATATGCATAAAAATGGAACCATTTTTTTTAAGTGTTATTGGCTAATGTAGTTCTTATTAATTGCAACAACTTAAATAGCTAAATTAAAATAATTTTGGAATAAACTAAATTTACACTCGATCTTTTGTCTTCATTATATGGATAAAAAATTCTTCATCATATTCTATTCAATCATATTCAATCATATTCTAGATAAAAGATCTTGATTATATTTGGAGAAAACTACAAAATGTATAAATGGATTTTTTACATAGATTTCAAATATAGAAGGGAATTTTACTTTGATAGCTAAAATAGCTAATTTAATTAAATTTTAGAATAAACTACATTTGTTGTGGTGGTTTTAGATTTACTATTTTAAGAATAAATCATCTAGATTATAGTTGGAGAACTGCATTTTGAAAGGGCAACATAAATTTTTACATCGTAAAATGACAATGTATGTTTTTGGCCAATAAGAAGGCTTCTTTATTATCTCTTTGTCTAATAACTAAGTTTTTATATTATGTAAATAGCAGAATGGAATTACTTATTTATGGTTTCTAAGGTCATCATAATTTGTATCGTAATTTATTTATTTTTAATTGCAAAATATTTGAAAATATCTCAATGTAATAAAAATTCTTTGCAATATGCTTACTGAATTTTTACACCAAAGCTACAAGTTTACTTTACAGTAAATTTTAAATGCGTCACAACAAAGATTGTGTATATTTTTTAAGATTAATTTTATTATAATAGAACTTGTATTCAAGTAAAATGTTAGTAATATACTCTTTCAAGCACTTTATAAGTATTGTTACATTTTTAAAATCTCGCCCAAATAGAATATATATATATATATATATACATATATATATTTTTTTGTTTTTGTTTTTTTATTTTTTTGGTTCCTCTAAATTTTATAAGAATACTTAAAAATATAAAATAAAGTTAAGTATTAATATTGTAAGTTGTATAAGTTGCTTATTATTGTATTTTCTTGAAGAAAATTTAAGAAGAATTCAAAATGAATGAAATCTATTGAAATCAAGTAGCTATTTCTTAAACCAAATTAATCTATTATCTATTCTTAATTTTCAAAAGAATTCTAATAACACCAATGGGAGCTCAAAGTTATTTATTCTTATGCTTTCTATGATAACAATAGGTGTTAAAATGATAAGAGTTTAGTCTTTGCAAGAAGAAGAAGAAGAGAAAAAAAAAAGAAAAAAAAGAAGAAGAGTTTAATCATACAATATAGAAACACCTTCAAATCTAATAAAATTATTATATTTTAAAATTATTGTAGTATAATCTTTATTTTAAAAATATATGTCTTTTTTAATTATTTAGTTTTTTAGTTTTTTAGTTTTTTTTCATTCATCTACACGTTTTTTTATTTTATTGTATATTTTAATAATTTGTAATGATCATTGACAAGTTGCTATAGTACTAAGATGTACTTGTATGTTTTTTCAATTATAACTAAAGTATATGGGAATAGTATTTGATAGAGCAAGCAAAGACTTATCTAAGTTTTTGGTGATGAACAGATTCAGTATTTGCTTTTTGGATTCCAACTTCTTGAAGATGTAAATGGCTTGTAAAATCAACGTCATCATACTAAAATTGTTGCTGGAGCGCCACATCGTCTTCTACAACATGAGATCGTTGTTGCCATAATTTGTAACGAGATCTTTGGCAGTGAGCCATCACGAAAGCGGTGCTGCTGGTGCGATTCCCTTGGTTTTCGACCTAAGTAGAAGGATGCGGCGGTTGCAATGAGTGAGGATCTGTCTCGAAGACCCGTGGTTGGCCCGATGGTCCCCACACCGAACTTGTCGAGATACCGCGATTCGTGAGCAATTTGGTTAGAATTTCGTTCCGAGTTGATATTTTCAGAATTGGGTTGCGCGGAGTTGAGTGCAGTTTTGCCCAGAGCGTTTGGTCATGGGAGGGTCGTCTGCAGAATCGCAGAGTGCGAATGCGGGGGACGGCAGCACGTTCGATGGAGTCGGAGATGGGTTCGATGTTCTCAACTATATTAATTTCCAGTGGGATGTGGTGTCTCCGTCGGAGATGAGCGGGCGCTTCATTGTCAAGCCCAAGACGGCCCAAGTGAGTTAACTGCCCATGCCTCCGCTTCTTCCTTTTTTTTTTTTTTTTTTTTTTTTTTTTTTTCTTTTTTTGCTATCCCTGCGTGTCAGATTGGGCTCGTCTTGGCTACGTGTAGAGATTTGCATTGTGGAGCTACGAGATGCGTTGCCCTCCTCTCTCGTGCCTATGATCGTGCACCGATTTCAGTAGAAATGTGACAAATTTTTCCAAGTAGCTGGACAGTTCGTCTACAATTCGCAAGGAAGGAACTCTCATCCTTCGCAACGACGCCAAGACAAGCTACTGAATCGGGAACGTCCTTAGTTGATCTGGGTTCTTGCGTTGAGGGCAGTCCAAATTTTGAAAAGCAGAATTTCTCACTTCGCATCGCATTCTCATAGTTTGGAGATAGTGGATGCAATCCCAAAATTCAGTTTTCTAGCTTGTCCACCACTTCTAGCTTATCCATCACTATGTGAATGCCATATGCATTGAAGTGAATATTAATACAAACTAACCTGGATTTCTCCCTCTTGCCATCGTTTTGTAGCACCCCACGTGTAGCTTACTTCCAAGTGTTTGCAGCTTAGGGTTAACGAGCTTGAAAGTTTTGCGTTGACATGTTTCCATGGACTGATTTTCTTTTCTAGGTTCAGACATGTAGTTGCAATGTGTTTTGTTTTTCTGTTTTTCAACAGTCGCTGCATCCAGAGAGATGAGAGTTCTTGTGGTTGTCTATTCATGTGAAGAAATTCACTTGTTTTTTTTGCTCTTTACACTAAGCTTCTTCCATTGGATACTTAATCGCAAGGGCAGCCATTTGGGGTTCTCCATGGTGGCGTCACAGCGTTTCTATCAGAGACCCTATGCAGCTTGGGAGCTCAAGTTGTGTCTCAATGGGCTCGAGTTGCAGGGATTGATCTGACCGTCAACCATTTACAATCTGCTCCGATTGGTACTGAGGTCATTGCCAAGGCGGTCCCTCTCCGAGTAGGCAAACGAGTCCAGGTACATATCTGTCCTCGCTTTCTGTTAGTATTCCATGTGCGCACTCTCTAAATTATTCTTACTTCACTGGCCCTTTCCTGACATTTACATCCAGCAATTGAAGCTCCGCAGATGAGTCACATTAACCAACTGTTGCGTGCATCACCGTCTGCGTGTGCGTTGTGTACCTTTGTTGCAGGTGTGGGACGTCCGCTTCAGCACTCCTAAAACTAACTCTGGCTCATCATCAACCGAAGCGCAAGAATTCACCACCATTGCGGTTGCCCGTCTGAGTCTCATTATAGGGTTGCCCGATCCAGAGAAAGCGAGACCAGGTAATGAAAAGCTCATCGCTATTGCCCGGAAGAACAATGTAGAGTTGGCACCCCAAGTTGTGTCCAAGCTGTAGCAAACCGAAGGTGCACTTCGCAGCGGCATCTGCAGCAGCTAATAGAATCAAGCGTTTTATAGAACTATTTCATTAGGACCATGTCGCTGATTGAGTAATACATCCGCCTTTGTGGCCTTACAATTGGATCAACATTCAATGTGAAGTCTTAATTATTCCACACCAGATGATTGATTTGTTTAATTGGCTGAATACTGATGTGCCAATAAGTAATCTTATCACTAAAATCACGGGCACGAAGAAAGTAGCTTTTGCTTCATCGGTGCTTATGTGGTACTGAAATTTTATTCTCAAACATAATGAAAATATCGGAGGCAGTCCATGCTGGAGACTAATCAGGAGGTACCTGGATGAATGAGACTCCTTGATCGAGTGGCCCAAGGCGCCGGGTTCAGACTCCAGTTTGACAGAGCGTAGGCTCAAATTTTTCAGCCGTGACAAAACATCGCAACGCTCGCTTGCAGGTGATAATTCTCGGTTCTCGACAATCGAGATGGTCTAATGGTCACAGCAATTCCTAAAAATGTAACACGCATCCAGCTTTTGCAGTTCGCATTGCCTCGTTTGTTGCGTTTCTTGTAGACTCATCATCTGAAATTAGGAATGAGTTACTGATGTGATGTAGAAGCCGAATACAGTTCCCTACCTCTACCGATGCAGTTCATTTTTCAGCGTTGTGCTGGAGTCGTGAGTGAAGCCTTGGTGTAAGACGTTTGAGTTGGTACACATCGTTGTCAACATTAATTAAGGTTAGCACCTGTTCTCTGCTTGAAAGAGTTGACCGCAGCCGACATTTGCTTCGCCTGTATGAGATTGTGAATTGTCTAGCGTAGAAATTGATCATTAGCGTCGTGTACATTGCAGATCGCGAACTATTAAGTAGCTTTTCGGTTTTTTGTTCCATAGCAAGTTCAGCGCAGAGACGAGATGTATGCGGTCTGTGGAATTATTCCCTGGCCTCGGTTGTTGCTTCGAGTTGCTCTGAAGGATGTGTGTAATTAGGCCTAAAGCAAGGATCGAAAATACGGTGGGATGGACACACCGTTGCTCTCCGATAATAATCGGTACGCCGCGCCAGAAGCACATTGGTCTGAGGAACGAAAGTCGTGGGATTGGGTGCTCGAACCGCCGAATTGGTGGTTACCAGATGGTGCATCTCGTGCCACAAGAAGAGACTACTTCGGTGGACTCATTGAACGATGCGTGCTGGTGGAGCCGCTTTCGCCCTGGATATCGCCACAGACCTTGCAAGAAGTGCTCGACCAATTAGGTGTAGTGCATGCCATTAAGCTCCTGAGGACTCCGTTATACGAAGCCGCAGCCTCATACTCTGACTTCCGACCAAATTATTCAAGGCGAGCACTGAGATTGTGGATTGACTTGATTAAGAATGGTCGCAGCCATTCGTGAACTGACTTTCAATAATTTTGACCTCCATTCTTGAAACTAGAAATAAATAAAAAGCGATCGTCATTTTTTACAAATTTCAGGAAGGCAATCGTGGAGCTGCGAAGGTCCGAGAAGGCAAAGGAATTAGTGGACACATGCAAATCCCTCCTCATGATAGGCGGTATACCCAGGCCAGTCGGAGTTCGTCATGCGGAGCCAGACATGCTGATCGATCACCCTTGCAACCGAGGAAGAGTATATCTTGATCTCAGAATTTTTCCACGTAGAGATTGCAAATTATTCCGGCAATATTTGCTATTTTGCGACAGAGCTCTCTCTGCAGAAGTGAAGGTATTTCTATAAAACATTGAAACATAGAACCACTTCTGTGGCAAATTCTCATGGATGCCTCTTTAAGATTTATGCAAACTAGTTAGGATTCCGCGCGTATGGTGCACAAATCGCTGAAATACTCCTTCCGTGTCACAAGTCCCAAGCGTAATGCTCACCACAACGACCTGAGACAATTGAGTCAATTGATCTACTATTCCCCTACTTCAGGGCCTGCGGAAACACGCCAATGAATCCATCATTAAGTCATAAGGCTCAAACTGCATGTGCATGGAGGATTTCGTACCAACGCAAATCTTCCAAACTCTGGAAATGCTTCTCCGTAGCCTCTATCTCGACGATGTCGTTCTTTTGCGTTTGTTTTCGATACTAAACGGTGCTGGATCCCGATACAGGCTGTATCATGGACACATGCTCTGAAAACAAGGGAGGTGAAGGAATCGTAATGGTTGTCCTCGTGATCAGATTCAGCAGGAGGAGGAAGAGGCGCTTCATGCGGAACAAGTGAGAGACCTCGCAGCTTTCAAAAAGAGAAGCAAATCCTATCTCAACGCATCAACTCAAGCAATTGTTTGAGCTCGAAGGATATATCGGCATGTTTACCACAAGTATCAAACCTCGTTCTTCCCTGGAAGTACTTAAGACCTTCCTCCTGGAAGCTTCTAGAAGATCGTCGATCCTACGTGGACCAGCTGCTCAGCAATTGTGGTGCAGTTTTCCTCTATTGGTGGATGTTCTTTCACGAGTTTAAAATCATGTTCAATAAAAATGAGTTGTGTAAAAATGAATATGCACTCATGCATAGGTGAATAGTTTAGACAGTAATTGGGATGATGGAAAGTGTGTTCATTGTGTAGAAGCATGCAACGTGTTTAAAATTCAAAAAAGCCGTATATTCAATGGGGTTTATTCCTCAAAAGAAGAGGATTATTTATTTATTTATATTTAAATAATAATAAAAATGAACACGGAGACAGTTATATATATATATATATATATATATGTATAAACTTAATTGAACTGATAGGATCTTATTGAATGTAAATAAAAAGTTAATAAAAAGTAAACATATGTATGTTTGTTAAAACAACTAAATGTATTGTTCAATAATTTATTGTTTATTTGATGGCAAATAAAAGTTGATTCTATGTCTTTAACATAACACATCTACCTAAAAGATATGGAGTTATTATAAATTATATATATGTATATATAAGTTGATTATTTTTTCAAAATAATTCAATCTATTTAATAAATTAGTAATTTTAAAATTTATTTTTATTTTAAATATAATTTTAAATATAGTATTAATATTAATTATATTTTAAGGATATTTATAGATGTTATAGATGGATATAGATAACTCAAAAGTATTTGTAAGTATAAAATAAGTGATTTTTTTTATAAGTATAAAATAAGCATTACAAAACCTTAAAAATATTCAATAATAATATATAATTTAAACCTTAAAAATATTATTATAAAAAATAAGTGATTTTTTATTCAAAGAAAAAAAATCTATAAAAATATTTCAAGTAGGTAGCATGTTGTGGTGACAATAGCAATAATTGTGGAGGCATTAGAAACACCTTATATTTTTACATCAATATCCTCTAAAAAAATATCCACAAAACTAAAAACTAAAAATATATTATATGTATATACAATTATAAAGTTTAAGATTAACAATTTTTGTATATATATATATATATATATATATATATATATATATATATAATGTATGTTATGTATTTTCATACGTATATTTCATAATATACATTTGATATAACTTTATCCTAAAATAAATCTAGAAATATAAGTTAAAAAAATATTTCTAGATAAAATATTATTAATTTAATTTTTGAATTTAATATGAAAGATAAATATTTGTTGACTTCATTTTAAAGATTTTTATTCTTTAGTGCAAGTTTTGATAGCTTAGTGCACAATATTTATTATATATACAATAAATGAATCAAATTATAGTTTTATAAATTATATAAATAGGAATAAATAAATAAAAGTATTTTTTTATCTTATTTAAAGTATTACAATTGCTAATCTCGTTTGGCTTTAAAGTCTTACTATTCCTAAGAATTGCTTGGAAATGCATAATTTTTATGTTGAAATTATTATTCTCATTAGAACCACAAATTAACAAAATCTCCAATAAGATTGTTATGGTATGTGGTTGTAGTAATGTTGTTAATACGTGTTTCATTTGATTGTATATATATTTGTCAATTGAGTTTGTTTGCAGCTACTACTTGTATTTGTTTGTATTATATATATATTAGCTACAAACATTTTTGCAAAAAATTTCTTGTCCTTCTCAAAAAAATATCTCACACTCAAAACACATTTATTGTGAGGGACATACACATGTAAGCCAATAATTACATGTATAAATAGGTAGAAGTAAGTAAAAGTGGATAAAAATAAGTTAATCCTATAATATTTGCTATAGAAGCTTCCTAGAAGCTCTATAGACGCTACTTTGACTTTATAGATGTCTTTAATTGACTTTTTGGATTAGAAATGTGGTCAATAAGTTGGCCATGTCACACACATGTTGTTAGCGTGAAGACCAAGCTAACTATGTAGCCCACACGTAGAAAAACTTGTCTTGTAAGTCAAGGCATGTGTCCTACAAAGTCAACACATATTGGAGGTCGCCACGTAGCTCCTAGTTAGATAGTATATATAGAGAGAAGAGTGAAGCCCTCTTCACTCTTGTCAACTCTTTTCTTGCTTCTAGTCTAGTTTTAAGGGTCTCTAATTTTCTTACCTTTTGGCAATAGCCATTCTACTTTCTTTCTTAATATACATATTAAATTTATTTCTATTTTTTTATCTTTTTTTGAAAAAAGTCTCGCTTGTTTATTTTTTTTTATCAAGTTCTTGTCCTTGACAGATTGACAAGAAAATATTTCAATATCAGAGCTTTATTTAAGCTTGATTAAGAGTGGATTACTCCTTTCTCTTGATAAGACATAAGCATATTAGAAGTTGCGGATTACCCTCTTCTAAATTGTTATTGTCCTTATTATTTTCTTTGTTCTCAAGTCCTCTCTTCTATTTGTCTTGAGTGATGTAAGAAATCTTTTTTTTAAGTGTTATCATGGCAGAACTTGCTGAAATGAAGAGTATAATGACACAAATGGAAGAGCAATTGAGGGAGTTAATGCTTGCGATGCATCAACTCAATTTACCACTACAAGAAGCAACAAGGTTGGTAGGAAGTAAAGATATAGAAATGATTGGAGTTGCTTCAACATCTGCACCAAATCATATCCCTTCTCCTATGGTGGAACATCCTTCCAGTGTTAGAGATTCTAGAATTACCCTATCCAAGAAGTTTGATGGCATCACATCAAAGTTTAGAAGATTTATCAATCAAATAAAACTTGTGATTGAACTTCAACTCCAAAGATATCCAACTCTAAGATCGCAAGTTAGATTCATTGGTAAGCTTCTTTCAAGTTCAACATCATCATGGTTTTCATCTTTTCTTGAACGATAAGATCTAATATTAGATAATCTTGAGGCTTTTTTGGCAGAATTTAGATCCATGTATGGAGAATATGATGCAATTTGTGTTCTAACCAACAAGATCCGTATTTTACGACAAGACAATCGATCAGTAACATTGAACGCTACATAATTTCGACAACTTGTAACTGATATTCAGTGAGATGATGCTGTACTTGTTAGTATCACGGACATACTCATGTAAGCTAGTAATTATATATATAAATAAGTAGAAGTAAGTAAAAATAGATAAAAATAAGTTAATTCTATAGTATTTGGTATGGAAGCTTTCTAGAAGCTTTATAGATACTGCTTTGACTTCATAGGTGTCTTTAATTGACTTTTTGGATTAGAAACGTAGTCAACAAGTTGGCCATGTGCCACACATGTTGTTAGCTTGAAGACCAAGCTAACTATGTGACCTACACGTAGAAAAACTTGCCTTATAAGTCAAGGCAAGTGTCCTACAAAGTCAACACATATTAAAGGTCCTATAGAACATCGCCACATAGCTCCTAGTTAGATAGTATATATAGAGACAAGAGTGAAGCCTTCTTTATATTGACTAGAAAGTCCACATCAAAAAAGAAAATGAATGGAAGACTACTTTTCGAATTAGGTATGGACATTTTGAATATAATTTCATGCGTTTTGGACTCACAAATGTACCAGCTGCTTTTCAACATCTTATGAATGATATTTTTTGTGAGTTATTAGATAATTTTGTCATTTGTTATTTAGACGACATTCTAATCTATTCTAAGAACACAGAAGAACATGAACTCCATGTTCATTGTGTGTTACAAAAACTAAAAGATGTAGGATTATATGCCAAGTTGAAAAAGTGTGTATTCCACACTACTCAAGTTGACTTTTTAGAATACATCATTTTCAACGAAGGCCTGATAATAGATCCCAAGAAGGTCCAGACTATCATAAATTGGAAGATTCCAAGAACAGTACAAGATGTGCAATGCTTTTTGGACTTTGTAAATTACTATCGAATCTTCATCAAGAACTTTTTTCAAGTTGCAGCTCCACTTATGCGTTTGACTTGTAAAGACAAATTTGAGTGGAATAAAAAAGCTAAAGTAGTGTTTGATGCTTTAAAGAAGGAATTTACTTCTGCACCAATCTTATATCGCGTCAACTTCTCCAAGGCATATTTTGTGGAAACAGATGCATCAGACTTTGCCTTGGGTGCCGTTTTGTCACAAATGGGAGTAGATGACAAGCTCCATCCAGTAGCTTTCTATTCCAAGAAATTTTTAGCAGTTGAGATTAATTATAAAATCCACAATAAAAAGCTTTTTGTAATTATGGATTCATTTCAAGAATGGCGTCATTATCTAGAAGGTACCTCAAGTCCAATCACCATGTACACGGATCATAAGAACCTCGAGTATTTCATATCAACATGCATATTAAATCGTCGTCAAGCTTGTTGGAGCATGTCTTTATCAAGATTCAAATTCATCATCACTTATCGACCATGAAAATAATAAGGTTAGTCCAATGCCTTGTCTAGATGTTCTTATCTTGCATGAAAAGAAAGAGATGCAGCTTTTGAGCAACAAAGAACGGTTCTCTTGAAGCCGGAGCAATTTCATCTTCGAGCAATAAAATCAACATTGATTGTTGATTTAACTTTTCTCAAGTAAGTCCAGTTAAGTATGTCTTCAGACCCTCTTGTTCACGATATCAAGAATAATTCTTCTAAATCTCATGATCTCTCTAAATTTGAGTTCAAGAATAAACTACTCTATTTTGAATGATGCCTATATGTTCCAGAAGGAGAAGCACGTTTACATGTTCTTCAAGCTTGTTACAACTTTCCAACAGTAGGACATTTTGGATACAATAAGCCTTTAGAGCTGATATCTAGGGATTTTTGGTGGCCTCAAATGTGGAAGGTAGTCAAAGATTTTGTACAATCATGTGATGTTTGCTCAAGATCAAAAATTCCTTGTCATCGACCTTTTGGACTTTTTCAGCCATTACCCATTCTAGAACAACCATGGTCTTCTGTTTCTATAGATTTCATCATAGATCTTCCAAACTCAGGTTCTTATGATTCTATATTTGTGATAGTAGATCGCTTCATCAAGATGGCACATTTTGTGCGATGTACAAAATCCATCACGGGTGAAGAAACAACTAAGTTTTTTATTGACAATATCTATTGCTATCGTGGATTACCAAAGGATATTATATCGAATAGAGGAACTCAGTTTGTATCAAGATTTTAGAGAATCCTTTTTAAGATTTTACAAGTGGATATAAAACTATCTTCAACTTTTCATCCTCAAACTGACGGACGGACAGAGCGCGTAAACCAAGTCTTAGAGCAATACTTAAGATGTATCATCAACTATCAACAAGATGATTGGACAACTCTTCTGCCATTGGCAGAATTTGCTTATAATAATATGATGCATTCTTCTACGCAACAAACATCTTTCT